GCTGTGGAGCTTCTTTTGATTAACAGCACAGAATGCAGGGTCATTCTTAGACATGAGTAAAGTTCAACTAGATCTGCTATTCTGATGGTGAAAGGGTGACAGAGTTCAGAACTGTTTGCACAAACAAAGCGCTTTTATATTTCCATTGAAGAAGTCACTGCAATTTTGAAACTAACGCAAACCTTTAGAAGAAACCTATACTATAGCTGATCCTATCAGTAGTATGATTACACGGTTTTTTGTTAAGAAACTTTCTACCTGATCAAATTGTAAATGTAAAATTACATTAAAATTGGTGTAAACCAGTTACATAGATGTTACTACACAAAACATTATTAGGTTATCTGACACAATATTTTTACAATGTAAGTTTCTAGTTACTAACTTTTCCTAGAAAATATACAAAAAGGTTTCTAGAAAAAAAAATGTTGATTTACACTACCCATCATGTGGACTAATGCCCACCAACTAGTTAACAGTATCATGCTTGGGTCAACCCTTGTATTCTGTAATAAAATAATTTTGTCAGACAAACTCAATTTTAAAGATAGACTGAACCATCAAATGATGATAATGTTGACACTACATTAAAATGTAATTTAAGTCCATATTTAAGCCATTTAGCTTGAGCAACTTAAACAGAAATAACTTACAATGTCAAGTTTGTAAAGGAAGGTCTAGCTAACAGGCTGCTGAGCATGCTCAGTTTGATCTCTGATGATGCACTTGAATTTAAGTTTTTGGTCAAAGCATGGGGACTTATGACAAATATTTGATATTCATAATTAATAGCCTATATGTTTTAGCTCCATATTGTCACGGTCACGGTGTGTGGAGGCAGGCAGTACGACGAGGATGACAAGGATTCCGATAATGATCTTTAATGTAGACACAACAAGGCAGATTCAGGTAGGTGAGACACACACACTCGGGGTAACATTCACAATAACCGACAAACTCGACTACAAGAGACAGGAACAGATATAGGGCAGATAACGAGGGGCAGACAGGTGAGCACAATGAGGTGATTAACTAATAACGAGAACAGGAACAACCAAATAAGGACACAGAGGGAGAAACCACAATCAACAGTCCACAGGGGTGTGACAGATCGTCCCCCTCCCGGAAGGCACGTCCTCGCGCCGTGGAGACGGAGGGACGGAGGGGGACAAAGGAGTGGATGTGGGATGGTGACAGGGGAAGGCAAAGGGCTGGCAGGCAGACATGACAGGTGGAGGCGAGGGAGCTAGGAGCCGAGGTGGAGCTACTGGATCTACGGGCCGAGGCGGAGTCCGGGCCTCGGAGGCAGAGTTGAGGGAGACTCCAACCCCAGCGACGCTGGAGGATGGTAGGCCCGCGGGGCTCACACCGCAATGATGGTGGGCTGAGGGCGAGCAGAGGGGCTGCCAGACGACCGCGGTGG